CCCATTCCTTTCCCCTTTCTAGGTTTATTTATATTTTCTGTTCTTCCTCAGTCAGGTGTTTTTTGTTTGTTTTTGTGAAACCAGGGATTGAACTCAGCCCCTTGTACTTGCCAGGCAAGCACTTATTCTACTGAGCCATCTCCCCAGCCTCCTTCAGTCAGTTTTGATAGTTTGTTCCCTAACAGAAGAACAGAATGTTTTGACCATTACAACACTCAGCCAGCAGCAAGTTTTCCCAGCAGGTTTCAACCCAAGTCAGGAGCAGGAACTGATAAAGGTATTTAAATTTTGCCAAAACACCAGCAGAAACTGGCCTTGGCCCTTAGCCTGAGTCAGTGATGGCAAACCTTTTAGAGCTTTCATTGATACAGCATTCCGCTGTGGCTTAAGTGTTCGATCCTGGTAGAACCTCTCCATACCCTGATTCCCTCTTTGTGGGCCTGTCTGCATAAAACATCTTTTTCTCTTGCCATCCTCCTGAAGCTATGCTTTAGGCACTGTGCCACTTTGGGTGGGCTTTAGTGTTTTTTTTGTAACGCCAAGTCCTTTCTGCACAATCCCTTGCCAAAACTTTCAGGGTACTCTAGCTTCAAGGCTCTGTTTGTAATACATTAATGCCTCTTCCTCTCTCCTTTTTCCTCTGTGTGCTCTTTCACATCTTCTAGGTCTGTGGTAACAGCCTTTCAGCGCTCATTGATGCACACTGCCCACTGCAGTTTGCCACCACTGATCTGAGTAAAGGTTTATCACCTTGCTGATTTTTTGGGATTGAAACCTTGCTGATCTTTTTTTTTTTTTAATTTTTATTTATTTATGTGTGTCTGTCTGTGTGTGTGTGTGTGTGTGTGTGTGTGGCCAGCTCGGCCCACCAGGGGGCAGGGCTGGCTGGCATGTGGTGCTGGGGGATTGAACCACTGTCCCTGTGCTTTGCTAAGCTTGTTCCAAGTAGGTGCTTTAGACCACTGCGCCATCTGACCAGCCCCACCTTGCTGATCTTTTAAGAGGACCAAATTTTGGTTTTTGTTGGTTTATTTCATTTCTACTGTGATCATTATGCCCTTCTACTAGCTTTGAGTTTAGTTACTTTCCGTGCTCTTCAAGGTTTAGTCACTTCATTAGCATATTTTGTTTTGGTTTTTGGGGTTTTTTTTGTTTTTTGGATTTTTTTTGCTATGTAGCCCTCTTTATCTTCCTGCCTCAGCTCCCAAGTGCTGGGAATAGGCATATGGCACCACATCTAGCTTTCTTTTTTGTTTTTTTTGGACATAGTCTTGATGTAGCTTAGGCAAGCCTTTGACTCATGATCCTCCTGATTTAGCTTCCAGGGTGTCGAGATTACTGCAGGCAGGCAAGCAGGCATGAGCCAACATGACTGGTGAGATCTTTTTAAATAAATGAGTGTTTGAGGTTGGAGATGTAGCTAAATGGAGGAGTACTTGCTTAATGTGTGAGGCTGTGGGTCTAATCACTAGCACTGCAAAAAGAGAGGGAAGAAAGGAAGAAATGTGGGTCTTTGTATTTTATTTTCTCTGTTGCTTTTGCTGTATCCTATAACTATAAGCCAGGCATGATGGTGTACCACTCCCAGCACTTGGGAGGCTGAGGCAGGAGGGTCCCTGTGAGTTCAAGGCTAGATTCAGCTACATAGTTAATTCAAAGTCAGCCTGAACTGCATAGCAACACCAATAGATAGTTAATATAGTACTAATTTCTCTTAGTACATTGAAAAGAAAGGTTTGTGCTAATATTGTTTGGACAATTAAATGTTGATATCTTGTACTCGGAGTAACTGGGTTTTCTTTTGTTTGTTTGTGGGGGTTTTTTTTTGTTTTGTTTTGTTTTGTGGTACCAAGGATCAAACTCAGGCAGGACTTTTCGCTTGCCAGGCAAGCACGTAGTCCACTGAGCTATCTCTCCAGCAAACTGATTGGAAGATAACAATATGTAGCATATTGGGCCGGCCAAATAGCTCAGCAGATTAAAGTGCATGCAAGCAGGAGCAGGGGCCAGAGGTTTGATCCCTGGGCCTGCTGTGCCAGCCCGACCCCCACCCCCACCCCCCTGGGGTGTGCTGAGATGGCAATTGAGATTGGACATGGTGCTGCAAGCTTGTAATACCAGCTCTTGGGAGGCTGTAAACAGGTGGATCACTAGGAGTCCGATCTAGTAGTGAAACCCTGCATACCCTGTCAATCCTTCCCTAAAATTAAAAAAAAAAAAAAAAAAAGTGTACTGTATTGAAAAGTCTGTGGAGGATTATAAAAAAAAAAAAAAAAAAAGTGTACTGTATTGAAAAGTCTGTGGAGGATTATGTGTTCTAGCAGATGGTGCATTCTTTCTTTTTTTAAATGTATTTGGTTGTTGCAGGGTCTCACTACACAGCTTGGACTTGTGGTGATCCTCCTGCTTTCAGCCTCCCCAGTGCTGGGATTACAGGTGTATGCCGCTGTGCCCAACTCTGGCCGGGTCAGCCCGCCCTGGAGGCGGGGCTAGTACCGCATGTGGTGCTGGGGATTGAACTACAGTCTCTGTGCTTGCGGAAGCTTGCCTAAGCAGGCACTTTAGTTCTCTGAGCGTCTCCCGGCCCGGGATGGTGCGTTCTTGAGACCATTCCACATGTGTGCAGATGTGTGGGGGTGTGAACCTACTGCGGGTTGCCAGCGTGTTCCATCAGTGGTGCCAGGGCTGGCTGTTCTACAGTGCTGGCTGAGCTGCTGTGTCCTACTCTTTTGTTTTGTTTTGTTTTGTTTTGTTTTGTTTTGAAGCAGTACTGCGGATTGAACTCAGGACCTTGCGCTTGCCAGGCATGTGCTTGTTCTACTGAACCATCTCCCTGGCCCGCTCATTTCCTTCTTAGTGGTTTTACACACTATCAGTACTAGGGACTAAACCTCAGTTGTTTTATTTTGTTGTTGTTTGAGGTAAGGTCTAAGTAACTAATTTGCCCAAACTGGTCTCAAACTTGGATCCTGCTGCCTTAGCGCATTACAGTTCTGGGATTACAGTTGTGCACTTCCATGCCCAGCTCAGATCCTGAATTTTTTTTTTCTTTTTTAATGTATTTAGTGCAGGGTCTCACTACACAGATCAAACTTGCAGTGATCCTTCCTGTTTTTCAACCTCCCAAAGCTGGTGCCACCGTGCCAAGTGTCAAACTGAAGGCTCAGTGCATCCCAGGGGCAGGCAGGGCAGGTCAAGGAAGAACCCTGGCCCCCGTGTCTGCCTAAGCAGGCACTTTAATCTGCTGAGCTATCAGGCCAGCCCAATCTTTTTTTTTTTTTTTTTTTTTTGTTCCTTGAACGCCTTCAGGGCACTTTTGGCCAGCGGGCGAGTTGTGAGGTTCGAACTCCAGCAACCTGAGGC